ACGTTGATTCATTAACCCCCCCCACTTTGCGCAAGAGCACAGAAGTGTGGTCACCACATCTACGCCTCTATATAATCAACGAAACAGGTGGACTTCTCCACAAATCTGGCTGTCGCCTGATGAAGCTAGTTGTAATTAGTGGCGAAACGACATACTCAGATTGTAAATGCTGTGGCTTGGCTCTCCAACACACCGGTGTGCTGTACTAGAGACAAATTAGCATGTTCTGTTTACGTGACAACCCTTACTAGTTGGCTGTGTCGGGTGGTGGTGGGTTTTAACGACACATTTATATATTTACGTAATCTAATCCCCACAAAAAACTCTATTAATGGGCAGATTTGTAGTTTTGTATCTTCTCCGGAGATATGTGGTAAGCAGCGGTGGCCAATGACTACCGTGTGCAGAATCAGCAAGCTCCAATTCATCTTTTATACTTTAAAATTGCACATGCAGGAGGCTTAATTGGTGATTGGCATGCAACAGCAATGATAATATACCAGCGCTTTTCCAATACCGGCAATGCACAGTCCACCACAGCAGCACATAATAATTGTGCCGTTTTGTTGTACTGCATTTAGTAGGCCTCATGGCGTTCTAGGAGGGCTGTTAATGAAAACTATTAAAACGAGTCTACACTTGTGCACTCAATTTTTTTTTCATCAATGTGTACCGCCTGCTATGAGATATGGATCGGAAACATGGACATTCACGAATAAAAATGGATCGGAAACATGGACATTCACGAATACAAATGGAACAACTGAAATGGTGTGCACAAAAGTGCGGAGGGATGCACACTTGGAATTTCATTGAGAGATACTGCTGCTTAGTGCTTGAAACATACCCCGTGAGCTGGAGAGAGAAATTTGTGGTTTTGGGCGCGGTCCTTTGTGTGGAGCCAGGAACCACCACAGCGTGGTCAGACCGTTGTGGGAACAGGTTTTGAGGAGAACCCGCCCAATCTCAGGCTATTTATAGGCGGACCTCCCAAGTGATTTGCCCAGGGAATGAAACAATAGACTGAGTAGCACTATAAAAAGGGTGCCCTAAGTGGCAGTGGGGGCTCAAGGCAGAAGCAGGAGCAGCGGTGGTGGCGACAGCAGCAGGAATGACTGGGCGAGCTCCCACCCTCAAGCAGCGACAAGAGTGAGGACCAGGGGATATTCACTTAGTATTATTGTTACGTGTTTCCTGCGGTCGACCCCTGGGGATTGAACCAGGGCTGGTGGGACATCTGGGACCACAAGAGCATGGTAGGAACGGCAAGAGCGGGGAACCAAGCTGGCTGCAGCCTGGCGCTGATGTATATGTTGGGTCTTGATAAATTAATACAAATTAAACAAATGTGTAATTTCCCGAAATTATGATAAAAAAAAATTATTATGTGGATTATTTATGCTAATTATGAAGGTGTAATTGTATTAAGTTATGCAAGTGTATGCGATTATGCTAATGTGCTGTATACAATTATGATCATTAGAATCTGGCTCATTGTATATAATTGTATTATCAATCAGGATAATACAATGAATTGTATGAAGTTATGCAAGTGTGATGTAAGTATGCTGATTAAGCTCGGCTTCGTTGTCTAGGGTTGTATTATCAATCAGGATAATACAATGAATCTCGCTTTAACTTTTACTGATTGTTTGGTGTGTTTTATGTCAGGTCTCAAAATTCAAATCTCTCCACAGGATACAGTTCTCATAATTAAGATTATTATGCATTAACTTAGGAAGGCACCACTCAGACTCTTCTGTGTTAAGCAATTTTAATTTCTAAACAGAAACATAACACTCTAATATGCGAACACTTATGCTAGGAATTGTCAACACAGTACTCCCCGAGATGTCCTCCTCATTGATCCGTACATTTAACCCTCAATGATTACGTTTGTTAAACTGGGTAAGAGAACAATCGGTTAATTCCTCAGAGTAAAGCGAGCATACACGGCAATAGCAAAAAGTCCTTAATAATGAGTGACAATATTCGTACGAACAGCAATAAAGAAACATGTCCCGAAAGCAAAAGTAGGCCTCAATGAATTCATTGGTAATATGCAATTAACGAAATGTCTTGGAACAATATTGTGCAGAAGTGTGCCTGCTTCAGCAAATGCTTATCAATTGGCTAAGGCTTCAATAAAGTCACGGGCAAGATTCTGTGATCAAAAGAAAGATTTTAACACAATAGTCTCCCTGTGAATGTGTAGATTCGTAACATAGATGTTTCTAAATGTTTAGTTTCATCAATGCATTCATTGGTACAGTTATGCAATTAACAAACGAATGACTAAAATACTTCTAAACAACCGTATCTACGTAACTCAATGGGCGAAACATAAGGATAACTTTTGGAGTACTCTTATTAGTCCCGATATGTGCGTTATGTGTGTGTTGGTCAGGGGTGCCGCCAGAAATTCTGGGCCCTATGGAAACCAAAATTTCTGGGCCCCCTACATTTTTTACAGATAAAATTTAACCCAATAAACATCCCCAGTATACTTTAAAAAAGATACTTAGCACATTGCATAGTTAAAATGTCTAAAGATGAGTACAAAGCTTACAAAAACAAGGAAAAAATATAGAAATATGTACTTGTTAACATAAAAGGGAGACCATTTATTATCTCAATTGCAATTGCAAGCACAACAGAACATAATGTACACATATTGACATATACTTTACATGAACAAGCTTTAGCTGCTCAATCAGGAAACATCAGCTAGAATTAACCCATAATTAAATCAGTCCAGGAATAAAACTAGCTAGGCCAAAAGGGCTCAAAATGAAGACACACCACGAGTAATGCCAGGCCTAAACCAGTCCAGAACTAAACAAGTACTGAACCAGACATCAACTGTTTGTTATCCAGGTCTAACAAAGTTATGTTCAACATCACTTTATAATGGCCCAGCGGCGTGTCTTTCTGCTGGCAAAATCATGTATCAAATCATCAAAGTTCAGCTTTCTTGCCAGTTTGCTTTCAATGGATAGTATGGCAAGGTGACAGTCTATCCTGCAACATAGCAGACCTCAGATAATTTTTTATCTGTTTCAGCTTACTGAATGCTCTCTCGCCACCAGCAACGGTCACAGGCAGTGTGCAAAATATTCGCAAAACTATGCAGACCTGCCCAAAAATACTCTGCAGCTGCATCTTGTAAATGCTGTTGAGCAGATAAATTGGTGACAGACACCCTGGGAAAGTGGCCCTATATACAGAGTTGAGGTGTCTGACTTCATCTTCAAATTCACAAGTCAGATCAGTGTTGTATTTTGAAATCAATGGCTGGCATACAGAATGGATTTGATCATCACGTAACTGACCCCTTTTTACAACTACAGAAAATTGATCCAAGATCTCAGCTGTTGTGGCAAACCTGGTACTTAAGTAATTGATTATGTGGTCCATCATGGGAAGAAACACAGTGTTTCTGAAGGCGATTGACAAAGCCAAAAAAGTTGGTAACCTCTGGACTTGATGGAGCTGCATGCACACCAACAAGGTTCAGAGTATAAGACGCACAAGGGGAAAAAAGTAGCCAGCTTATTCTTGTTTAATAATTGGGCTTGAACCCCCTTGATTTTTCCAGACATGTTTGCCCCATTATCATAGCCTTGGCCCCTGCAGTCATTCAGATCTATGCCATGACTGTTAAGCACATTTACAATCATGTCTGCAATCTAACTTCCTGTTTTTTTGTGAAAATCTTTAAACTCCAAAAACCTTTCAACAACCTAACATTTCTTGTTTTCTTGATCAAAACCTACATATCGTAAGAGTAATACATTTTGCTCTGTATGTGAAATATCAGGAGTAGCATCGCAAATGACTGAATAATAGACTGATTCCTCCCTTTCCTTAAGAATACTACTTAACACTCGTTTTCCACATAACTCCATAAATTCGTTCTGAATATCTGAGCTTAAATAGTGTGTCAATCTTGTTCCTGTTTTTTTGTCTCTGACTTTTTGTAGATGTTCGTTGAGTAGTGAGTCATAATGGGACAGGAGCTCAAGGGTGCCCAAGAAGTTGCCATTATGAATGCCCCCCAAGTCTTTTGTTTTACCCCTCAAGGGTAAATTTCGAGAGGCCAAGAACAAGGTTACATCTAGTATCCTCTTCAGAATAGCTCTATTTTTGTCTATTTCTGTTTGTATGAACTTCTTCAGCTTGCTGTCTATTCCCCCAGGGACAGCTGCCATTACAGACTGTTGTAAGGTTTTCCATTTTAAGTAGCACTACCTGTGTGCTTTGCTGCTTTCGTGGTTAGGGAATTTATCATACATTCGACGCCATGTTATGTCTTTGATTTTATAACCATGTTGACTGCTTAGTGCGCTCATACAAGGTTTCTTTAGCTCATGACCAAATAATACACAAGGAATACAAAATAGTGCATTTGTGCTTTGGCTGTAAATGACCCAGTCTCTCTTAATCTTTTCCCTGCAATTTCCTGACTTTGTGTACTTGAGGTATTCGGGGAAGGCTTTACCTTTTGAATCATGTGGCATTTCTTGTTCTTTATCTTTAGAGGAAGCTATTTTTTCCACAATTTTTTCTCTGTCTGCATTGCTAATTTTTGCTGGCCACAAACCAGGATCATTTGACACAACAGTCTCTTCTTCATCTTCCTCTGAGTCTGCTCTCATGGCTTCCTCTGTTCTCTCATCTTCCTCTCTTCTGTTATCTTCCTTTACACTTAAGGCTCCCTCTGTGCTCTCATATTCCACTATTCTCACCGCTTCCTCAACTTCCACACTCTTTCCTGGCAAAACTCTCTGTCTCTCTCTTGTTTCTGTGGGGTTAGAATAGCAAAATCATTTTTGTCCCCCAGTCAACAACAAGTTACAGCTTAGAATTAATATTTTCTTAACTGCATTGTTGAATAATATTATATAAAACATATAACTATACAACACAAGAAAAAAATTAGACAATCCAAAACTTAATTAGTTTTTTACTACCTTGGTAGCTGACCATGTTCACCTTACCTGACACTGAGAGAACTGGGTCATTAGTAGAACGAGGTGCAGACAATAAAGCTGACTGCATCTGTATAAGTCAAACACGCACACACACGTAATAATAACCATATTATTTTTATTGGCCTATTTAGTTTTCTTAATATAAAATATTAAAATATCTATTTTGTAAACTCCTTATAGCCAATGGTTACTACAGACACATGTTTTATTCATTTTTACCTTATTTTTTCTGGGGCATTTTATTCACATTAAGAACGTCAAGTTTGACAGCATCGATCGTAGCAGCAGCACTGTCACTTCACAGAACACACGACACACACACGGCAAACTGATTTTGTAATTTTTGAAGCGTGTAGATTACTTTTTGTTTTGTAAAATTATCATCATGTGGCGAACACAGTAGATAAGACGTGTTTAGAGGCTTCAATCTTCGTGAAGTTTCGCGCTCAGGCTCACCTTGTTTGACTGAGACGGGGACGGGGGACGTGGGGGAAGGAGGACGTGGGTGTGCAGCAGCCGCTGAATCTGTGTCTACGAGACATGATAACCCCGGAGACAGCAGAGATGTTATTATTGTTGGATGTAAATCATAATTCAGTAATTATTTTACTAAGCTAGCTAGATAAAAGCAGGTCATGTAGCAACAAAAATAAGTAACTCTGAAAGTTTTGGAATACAGGAATAGGGCAATCTACCTTTCTTTTTGAAAAACTGCGTGACATACTGTCGACTTCGGCGTTCTGTCTTCTCTTTCCTTCTTTTCTTTCCGTTTTTGATGCCCTGACTTTTGATGTGACATGCCTGCGTGTGTCACTGTCTGCACTGCATCATAGCAAGTGCAATAAGCAAGAGACGCTACACTAGCGATCGTAGCTCGGACAGCGCAGGTGGAATGAACCATTCAGTGCATGAGGGGCCCTAGCACATTTAATGTATGTATAAAAAAGAGAAAAGAAATAAGAAAAGAAAAAGGGGGTCTGCTCTTCTGGGCCCTAAATCAGCCTGGGCCCATAGAATCGTCCTAACCTTCCACCCCTTTACGGCGCCCTTGGTGTTGGTGTATCGACTCCTTGTTCAACTCTTTGCTTTAAGCAGACGCTGAGGTGGGGCGTTTCTGGTACCAAAAATGCCTTGGTTCTCTATTGAGCGATGAGCCGTGAGTGTGGGAGTGTCATACACACGGCTCTCCCTCTCTCCCTCTCTCGAGGTGGCAGCTGCACCTACTTGTCCACTGCTGGATGAGCTGAGTCGGCACGACGCTTGTCTTTGAAGGCGCTAGATCGCGCTCACAGCGCGTCCGCTGGTAAACGGTGCCGACGGCTCTTGCTCGGTTGCGCTGGTTATGCTCTCAATGGTGAAAGAAACAATAAAAAAAAACGAAAAACAAAAGACGAACTCCGCGACTCGTGGCTTCTGCTGATGCCGCTCCCTATCGATGTGCCTGTCTCGGGGGCAGATCCCGGAGCCTGCCGCTCACAGCCCCGAGTTGCATGATCTGTGTCCTTGCTTATATGTGAAATTCGCCCACCTCGGCTCGCCTTCTCACAACGGACTGGAATTCCTTTGATTTCGCTCTCAGCCTGTGGGAACAGCTGTTTGTCCGGTGTGTGTGTGCTAATTTTATTAAAGTAATGTCTCATCAAGGCTTGGTTTCTGTCCCTCTCGCCAAGCCACCCTGCCACCACTGGACAGAAGCTCCAAATTGCCACCAAGTGTGACCTTCCAGTCCTCCAACCCTCTGTAATAATTAATTTGGAAGAAGGGGGGGGGGGTCCCCCTATCCGGTTGCGTTCTCCCTCTTCATGGTTTTGGTGTTACATTGTTGCCTCTCTCAAATAGGGGTGCTGTGGCCTTTGAAGTCGTATTCTCTCGTACCGGTTGGAAGTTAAAAATATCATTTTACCTCCTTATAGCTTGATACCGTACCACTTTTTGCAGTTTTCACTCTAAGTGACTCAAGGTATGTTTGGAGCAGTGTTTACAGTACTTGCATCGTGGTTTGGAATTCCTTCATGGTGTTTGATATCTCAAAGGGGAGGTGTCCTCCTCATGTGTATGTGATTTTTGCTACTATGTGCTGCTGGGAGACAAAGGTGGTTGGAGACTGATTCTATGGGATATATTTTATCTTGGTCATGTGTGATTGACCTATTTCGCCTTGTATCTCTTCTGGATGACCCTTGGTCTAATACTTCCCAAGTATTATTTGGTCTATCGATATTTGAAGCTTTCGTGACTGCAGGAATCCATACTCTTTGGTTATTTCGGTAAAGTCACGTAGATAAAACGATACAATAACAAACAATATATAGGGTGAATAAGGCTAAAATAAGGTAAGTAATAAAAAGCCACTAATGTAGACTGTTTTTAATCTGGGTGAGTGTGTTGGCAGTCTATGATGTCGACTTATTCGTATAAGCCAAGTTCCGAACTTGTACCGTTATATTAAGAGAAACAACAAAAAACAATTAAAAAAACAGCTGTCTGTTCAGCCCTCATGGCGCCTGTTTGTACGTGCTTTTGAGGCAGTCTTTGAAGCTGTGTAGAGATTTCCCCAGAATCTCATTAGCAACCCCCCCTCCCCTTTTTGCACCGGGGTTTTTTTGTTGTAAAACCTTTCATGGCAACTTCCTTGCCTGGTTCCTTGTGAAAGACAGCTGCTGTGAGGGGTGAGGGTGGTTGTTACATTTGTTTTGTGCCTCATACTACACCCCGATTGATTATTTAACAAAAAATATTGGCAGAATTATTCTTAATATTAATTTTTGGAAAAAGGCCTATATATACAACACTGGCCAAGAGTGAAGTCTGTGGCCATCTGGTTACCGGGGTGGCTGCCTGGTTGCCCACGGACATCTCCCACTGTCTGAAGAGGGGTTAGCAGGGGAGGGGTGGAAACTCTGGAGAAGAAACACGGGGCACTCTGTAAAGCAGAGTTGTGTAGGGGATGTGGATGACCCCCCCCCCCCTTCCCCCAAAGCTTCTGTGTGAGTCTCGTGAAAGCGGTAGGGACATGAGGTGTGATTGGATGTGTGTGGGTGATCTCGTGTTGATTCTTATTCGTTTGATGTTCTTTGTGGTAGCCTGCTCCCAGGCTATAACTCCTCTGCTTGGGGTGGTCAGTGTCAGCTCGGGTAGAAATAAAAGCTGACATCCCTAACAGCCAGGTCCCTGAGTGGTCTATCACCAGCTCGACGCGATACACCCTAACCAGCAGCCCGTGGATAGGCAACATGACATTTTCTGGGGGCTCGTCCAGGATCGATTCAGATCTTCTTTCGTGAATTCTAGGACTAATTGGGTAACACTGGCTCCTACCCGATTCCAAGATGAAGTGTAGATTGATTTGAGAAAAAGACAAAGACACGGTTGCAGTTGATGGTGTATGGTGTTGGGCTAAGCCATTGATTGAGTTAGTATGGATACTAAGGAGGCGTTTAAGTATGCTCGGGATGTAGGGCTACAAGGGCACGCTCTGGAGAAATTTCTAAGAGATGAGAGAGTGGACCGAAGAGAAACACTCAGATCAATAGAACTGGAGAAGGAAACAATTAAGCTGGAGGCGACTAGATATAGAAATGGAGCGGATGCAAAACGACAGTGTGTGGAAATAATTATCAGAGGAGAGAATTGGGAAGGAAGAGGTGGAAAGGGAGGAGAGAAGAGGTGGAAAGGGAGGACCGAATCAGGAGGTAAACGCTGGAAAGAGAAGAGAGACTGCAAGTTGAACGGTGGAAAATTTAATTGGAGCATAAGAAGCTAGAGGCAGGGGTACTGACTACTCCATAGCAGCTTTTCCAAAAGCCACAGCACCCAAGCTTTCTCAGTTCTATAAGAACGTGGATGATATGGATTCTTACCTGCAGTGATTCGAACAGTACTCTAACTGCTACAAGTGGTCAATGAATGACTGGGGTGTTCACTTGGGTGCTCTGCTGAGTAGAAAGGCACTGCTAGTGTACCATCAGTTGAGTGGGGAGAACGCAGCTGATTATGAGAAAACACTCTTCATTGCGGTAAATGAAGAGTGTTTTCGTGGTAAATTCTGGAGTGCTAAACCGGAGAGAGGGGAAAACTTTAGCCAGTTTGTGGTGAGAGCACGGCATTATCTGGCCAGATGGATCGAACTGGCTCAGATTGAAAATACATACGAAGGTCTGGTCGATCTCTTGCTAAGAGAGCAAGCCTTAGAAGCATGCCCAAAGGACTTGGCAATATTCCTGCAAGAGCGGATTCCCAGAGATATCCAAACAGTGGTGAAATTGGCCGAACATTTCCTACGACATTTGTTGATGAGAGCTTTCCAAAATTGGGCCTGGATTTGGCAAACCAGGTACAGTGGAGAAACCGGTTAGAGAACATGAGGCAAAGGGGGAAGGCAATGACTCTTATAAACCCATGAAGTGTTACCTCTGTGGGAGAGCAGGGCATATTGCGAGATTTTGTCAGAAAAGAGACCAACCAGGGCCAGGGGGCAGGGATCTAATGCCCCACACTGACTTGGTGGGAGAGGCAGGGGTGACATCTGTGAGGGCAAGGCAGTCCGCCATGTTGCAAGATGGAACAGCAATTCCCGTGTTAGGAATGTGGGCCGACAGTCGGCACTACCCGACACAACCAGGGTTTATTTGTTCGGGTAGTAAACAGCATGCGGTCTCTGTCCTGAAAGACAGGCTGTAATGGAATCATTGTGGATCGGAAGTGCGTGGAGGAATGCTGCTTGGAAGGGAGAACAAGCTTGTGCTTATTGAAGGATGGGACAGCACATCAGTGTCCACTTGAAATAGTGTAAATCAACTCTCCATTCTTAAAGGGGGCTGTGCAAGTGTTATGCATGGACCACCCATTGTTTGATGTAGTGATTGGGAATGTGTCGGGGGCACGGCAGCTGGGAGACCCTGATAGGACTTGGCTGCAGCAACATGAGGCTACGGTGAACACTTGAGGGGCGTAAATTGCCCAAGTTGTGATTACTCGTGAGCAAGCAAAGAAGGCCAAAATGCTCGTGAAACCCTTAATGGTGGTAGCCATAGGAGGGAAGCAGATGACATCACAAGAGCTAAAGGAACTACAGACATCGGATCTGAGTTTAACAACTTTGTGGGGAAAAGCTAAGCGATGTCAGGCCCTTGAAACAGCAAATGGGACTTCTCGCCAACTTGTGGTTATCAATGCTGTTTTACAGAGAAAATTCCAGAGTCCAAGGGTGGGCAATGGGAAAATGTTCACCCAGTTGATTGTCCCACATAAATGACGGAATCAAGTGATGGCTTTAGCACGTGATTCTTTGATGGCTGGGCACATGGGCATCAGGCGGACACGGACTCGTGTATTGGCACATTTCTATTGGCTCGGAGTGGCCAGAGACAGAGCGCTACTCTCAATCATGCTATATCTGTCAATGGATAGTTACAAAGGGCAGAGTAAGGAAGGTGCCATTAGGGCAGATTCCGTTGATTGACACACTTTTTAAACGGGTGGGTGTTGATTTATTAGGACCTTTTCCATTGACGGAAAGGGGACACCAATACATTTTAACATTGGTGGACTATGCATTACCCCGAGGCTGTGGCATTAAAAACGATTGAGACGGCTGAAGTGGCAGAAGCTATGGTCGAAATCTTTGGTCGCGTTGGGGTACCCACTGTGATTTTGACAGATAGGGGCACAATTTATGGCAGATTTTATGAAGGAGATCAGTAGACTCCTGTCTGTCAGACAACAGTGGACGACCCCTTATAACTCAAAATATCATGGGCTGGTCGAAAAATTTAATGGGACGTTGAAGAACATGCTGCGATGTATGTCATCAGAGCAGCCTCGTATGTGGGACCGATATTTGCCAGTCTTACTTTTTGCCTACAGAGAAGCACCACAAGAAAGCTTGGGGTTTGCCCCATTTGAGTTGTTATATGGTCGCTCAGTGCGTGGACCCCTAATCATACTTAAAACACTGTGGTCAAAAGACAAGACTGAGGAAGAGGTGAAGACGACCTACCAGCATGTTTTGAGCTCCAGCAGAGGCTAGAGCAAACCTGCCAATTGGCTAGACAGTCGTTCAGTACAGCTCCAGGGAAGCAGAAGCAATTATATAAGCAACGGGCTAAAGACTGGAACTTTATCGTTGTCGATTTCGTTCTACTGTTGTTGCCTACTGAGCATAACAAACTACTGTTGAGATGGAGGTCTGCATAAGGTAATTGGAAAGGTGGGTGTGGCAGATTACAGGGTAGAGATCAACGGGACAGAACGCCTATACCATGCGAACATCCTTAAGAAATATATTAAGAGAAACGCCCCCTGTTTTGAAGCCTGATATGGAGGTGAAGGGATGTGGCATCACCCACTTGGAGGTAGTGATGGGGGGTAACATTTGCTTGGCTGAAGATGGGGAGGTAGGTGAGGGACCAGGAATTGGTCTGATACCATTACCATGGCATGCAAAGAGAGGTGGGGGGACGTTAGTGTTGGTACTGACCGAAGGCCCCAACAACAGCAACAAGTGTAGAACATCTTGCAAAGGTATAATAGGGTACTATCAAGTAGACCAGGCAGTACATAACTAGCTACTTTCTGCATCATGCTGACAGATAACACGCCTGTGAGACAGAACCCATACCCTGTACCAATTGCAGTGAAGGATTAAATTGATCGTGAAGGCAATGCTTGACATGGGGGTGGATGAGGAGTCAGACTCTCAGTATTCCAACCCCGTTGTCTGCGTGGGGAAGGATGGCACGGTGCGATTCTGTGTGGATTATCGACGCTTGAAGAGAATCACGGTGGCAGATGCTGAGCCCATCCCAAAAATGAAGGCATTGTTCACGCAACTGGGGAGATATCAGTACTTTTCAAAGCTTGACCTTACAAAAGGGTACTGGCAAATACCAGTGGCAAAAAACAATCGGCACAAGATGGCCTTTTTAACTCATGATGGGTTGTATCATTTTACGAAAATGCCCTTCAATGCCCTTCGGTGTGGTAAATGCACCGGCAGTGTTCAGTTGAATGAAGAGACGGCTGCTGGCAGGCATTCCCCAGGCTGTGAACTACATATATGATATACTCATCCACACGACAACTTGGAAAGAGCACCTGGAGGTACTGGAAGCAGTGCTAGAGCGGTTGAAGAACAGCCAACTGACGGCCCGACCAACAAAGTGTGAAGTTGGTAAGAGGGCTATTGATTGCCTTGGACACCAAGTGGGTGAAGGGATCATTCAGCCTCAGCAGGCTAAAGTCCAAAAGATTTCAGAAGCCAAAGTTCCGGGCACGAAAAGAGAACTGCGTTCGTTTTTAGAATTGGTTGGGTTTTACCGCAAGTTCATCCCAAACTTTGCTGACTTGGCTAAACCTTTGAACCGAACCATGTAACGTGGAGTGAGGAAGCAGAGCAGAGTTTTGAGGGGCTATGAAAAGCTTTGACCCACAAACCAATTCTGAAGCTGACAGATGTAGACAAAGCATTTGTGCTCTGCACAGATGCATCGGAAAACGAGATAGGTGCAGTACTACTCCAGAAATGTGAGGGAGAATTGTTTCCAGTACTCTATGCAAGTCAAAAACTACTAGCTAGGGAGCACAACTATGGGTGGTATACAAGTTGCGAATGTATCTATATGGAAGGGAGTTCATATTAGAGATTGATCACAAACCCCTCTTGTACCTGAATTGGGCTAAAATGGAGAATGGCCGGGTGATGCATTGTGCCTTGTCACTACAGCCAACAATAGATCCTAGATGGACCAGGCACCTACATTAGTACTGAATAGCTATACAAAAATAAGCTACTGTGTTAAATAAGGTCACATCGTGTAATCACCATACTGCAGCCTAAATGTACAGCACTACACAACACTGAACTGTGGATGAGATATTTCGTCATCCTTGCTCTCAAGATCGCAATAAGGTTACATGGGTACAAGTAAGGCAAGTGGCAGGCTACGTTGTTAACTAGGCATCATATTTAACATAAATAATTTAACAGCATTATAAAGGCATTTACAGTATTATAACGGACATTCTAACATTATAACAGAATTCTAAGTATTATAAGAACATAAACGAACTTGCAGACAATGCTTCTTAAAGTCCCACAATGAACAGATGCACCTGTCTTCACTGGGACGCTATTTGTGCCTCCATTTTGTATTGTGTAATGGCTGATACACCTGCCTCATGGCTTAGAGAATCTTAAATCGTCACTTCCTGGTCACGTGACCAAACTCAACATCATATCAGGAAATTCCTGTGTACGCACACCCCCACACCTGCTGCGAGGCAGAACACATTGTCTTATTTATACTGGTGAT